CTGTCTTCATTCTCTTTAAGAAAAATAGCGATTCAGTTAATTGTTTCGGCCCGCTGGGACTGTAACCGTGAAGATAGAAGCTGTTCCCTGAATCAAAGTACATACACCTAAGATTTACCATATGCACATCGCCCTTTGAAGACCAGCACAACAACAACCACCAGCGGAAAAAGCAATTCCAGTAAACACTGAAGTGACTTCATTTCAGGCTGGAATAAAAATAAAGAGAAATGCTTTTTTGTGTTAAAATGAGAAGGAATTGTGTTCGAATTACCTGTAATGTAAGTTTAACAAGAACAAAAGACTAAGGGCTGTGAGATCTTTGGTATGCATAGGATTTGCGGTTTTGAATCGGATTATCAGTTTAACTTTACAAACCCCTGGGGGACCCGTTATTATTTTTCACGGGGGATTTTGTGTCACAACAAAATTAACCTGATCCCGTAAGGTTCGATAAAACTATAACCGAACCTCTGCTTGGAATACTTAATTAAACAGCTTTAAATCGAACAGTTAGCCTTGACAATCAAATGGTAGTGTAATTTTAAACAATGTAAATAGGGCAGATTTTTCTTTTTCCTCTCTGTTTGGGCTAAAAACTCCCTTGTCTCAATTTTTAAACAGGGAGGCATGTCTAGGAATTATATGTAAAGCACGATCAAGTTTAAATTTGTTTTGCTGATGTGTAAGATAAACAATTTTTACAGTGTCTATTTTCTTTACTGTAGTTTCTTTCGGTAACTAAATCAAAACCTGTGCTGTAAATAGGCCGTTCACAGTTCAGGGAGAATATTAACTTGTTGATGCGAAAACACCTTCATTGAAAATAGGAAGAATTGTTGAAGGGTCCGGCCTAATGTGGCGATGGCTTTTGCGGCTGACAGTTGAATTTATGGCCACTTAACGGCTAACGGTCAATTACTTTACGTTGCGTTTTGTACGGTTCACTTTTTGTGTCAATTTTTACACCTAACAGCTGCGTGTTTTTGCTCTCTTGCGGCTAACGGTTAATCACACCGAATCCTCACCAGATCCTCCCGTCAGTTTATTAAAACTTCGATAGGGTTATGTTTTGCCAAATGTCAGCGTATAGGTATATTTTATCTTCATCTTTAGGGTAAAGGCCGAGTCAAAGGTGGTGACTTTTTTTCAGAACTCAATTTAGAGGGTTGAAACCGTCGGCGAAATTTATTAGCGGAGTATAATTTTAAAGATTTTTCCTTGATGGCTTTACATTAAAAGAATTGCAATTCTCAGAAGTAATTTAATTGCAATGATCTGTGTTTTGTTGTGGTTCACCAGAAGTCAGTAAAATTGAAATGAGTTTTAAGAACCCCAGGCGGAGAATCTGTTGGGTGCTTTGAAAGATGGTTTGTACTAATATTGGCTAATGTTGTGTACATGAGGCTAATTTTGTTGACCGAGAAACGTCACAGACAAAATTTTTCAGAGATCGGTAGGAAGTGGCAGCTAAAGGGCAGCATATTTTGGGAACAGAAACGAGTGCTAGGGCCCAGCAGGAAAAAAAAACTCTCCTCCCCTCTTTTAAAGCGACGTCTAAGGAAAATTAGTTTAAGTATGGTTCCGGAATCGTTCTGATTCTTTCCTTTGAGTAAATTATCGTCATTTGAATGATCTTCAAGAGGTTTGCAATGTTTACCGAAATGACAAGCA